GGATGGCATGAGCAGCAGAATAAATATATAAACAAAAACCCCGAGATTTGTCACACGAGTTCTCTAGACACATTGCCACCCTCACATAAACTGCACACAAAACATATAAATATGAGTACATATGGCTGGATTGCAGACAGCCGGATTCGACTGGTCTAGAAAAAATATTACTACACTATGGTTGTGTGATCGAGGTCAAAATCGAATTTTGTCTGCATACAGATTCTGTTCACGGTGTTAACATTATTTGTTGTTAAATTTTGTTGCGGAAATTATGGACACGTCCGACTCGGAAAAGCAACGTACTGGATCGGCGAAATCTACATTTAAAGCATGGCATGGATATACACAGTATGGGGCACGCGTTCCGGAAATATTCCCGCTAGCCAATATATCGAAAGATACAGGTTTGCGTCAAGCGTGCACCTATAAGAGTATGGAGGATTGGAGTGGTAATGTAGATATGACACGGTCTTCGACATTGTCCTTGTCTAGTACTAATCAGAATCTGCATCCATACACCAACGATTGGGCACGGCCACACACGAGTGTGAACTCGCAATTCCAGTCGTCAAACACAATATCGAATCAAACCTACTCTTTGCGTAGTTCCAACATACCGTCAGATATTGCACACGTATCAAAAAGAAACCATACTACGGTATTGGAAACCGTATCTGATCGGTATAGTTATTTGTATTCACCCATCACGCCAAGCACGCACAACGTCGCTGTTTCGCCCGCATATAAAGATCCATCCGCGAGTACTAAGAATATGGCCAGCCAAACGAGTGTGGGTGTTACAGGAAAGGATAGCACCCCTCGAACTAACATTTTTAACTTTGAGAGTCTACATTCGGTGGCCAACGGGTTATACCATAATGACAGTTTGCAAAGCGAAATACGGCCTGTCGGCAATAATTCGACTGCTACGTCCAAGACCGCACCTACTGCTACAAATTCCTGGGATAGCGGGCGAAGTGTAAGTTATTTCTACGGTTAGCATCCATCTGCTGACGGTTAAGCATGGTGCTTATCTATGAATTTGTAGATGATATGATGCAAAGTCCATTCATAACTTTTATACTCAATTGGTACAAATTTGTCCTACAGGTAACATTCGGTCCGGCTTCGTTCACCCCTCGTCATACGGGAAATTCGCAGTCTACGACCACACGACAATCTTCATATACATACACCGGCAATCAACAAAGAAAAATGCTGTACAATGTGCCTAGTGCCGGACAAACAATGTCTAACAACAATTCGGGATGGACAAATTTAGGTCATTCGTTGCCATATCATGGTGGACAATTTGAAAAGCCCAGTGCCGATTACAACAAAGTTCCGCAGCCGCCAAGAACACTACGACAGAGCTTGCACGCTGAGGAAGGGAACTATGCAGATGATACAATTAGATCAAGTACCCTTCAGCCGATATCCCATATGTCGGCGGCAAGTGGTGCGCAACGCTATTCTGTACCGAATCTGTACAAGGAAAACGGACTGCGTAACTGTCAAACATCACATGATATGCTTGATGACCGGTTGGCTGAAAGAGGCTTTTCGTGCAGTGCGTTAGTTTCTAGAGATGTTCAAACCTCGGTCTGTGAGCGCGGCTGCGAAGATCAACTACATCCATTCGTCGACATTTTCCATCGCATAGGACATTCGAGTAATACGTCGCGTGTTCACCTCAAGGATCAGAACGACTTCCTTGTGAAGCTTATATTCGATCAGCAGGGGAATTTCAAGTATCATCTGTCGTGTTTGACGCGTATATTCAAGATATCACGTCGGCGATTCAGGCGCGTTCATAGCAAATGTCTCAAATCGGTCGAGGGACAACAAGAAGTTCATGGATTGAAGGGAAGGCCTTCCAACAACCGAAAAGCGGCCGAGACAAGACTACAGTTTGTGCAGTTCGTTAGGGATATGCGAGTCGTGATAGGAAATGATCACAAGCTATTTTATCTCGCCGACAATGTTTCGTCTATTCAGGGCTGGTTTCCGTCCAGTTTGCGTATGCGTTTTAACGATAATCAGTTGAAGATGCTAGCCAAATATGAGAAGGAAAAGGCTGAAACTGAAGGTGAAAATCGAAGCAACGAAGTATCGAATACGGGAGAAAGCTCGGACACACAGCGGCGGGGGGCTCAAGAGAGGGCTGGCCACGAAAGGCGCCCCTCGTTTCAAACCATCAGTAATAGCACCTGTCAGCGCTGGTTTAAGCGATTTTTCAGCTCAGATACGTTTATATACGCACAACACTGTCGACGAACATCGATGGAAAACGACCTAGAGGGTGGTGAGTGTGAACAATATAAAAAATAGTACAAAGCATCTTTGTATTCAATCGACATTTAAATAACCACATTTCTACTTTTACTTCAATTTGAATTTCCGATAGAGAATCACAGCACCTGGTCCAGTTTAACATAGTTGAAACATCTGAATATTTCGATACTAAATCGAACTGAACATAGTCTCTGCCGAACCGGCGTGTTGAATTGAGTGGCTTCTTATTGCCGATAGACATGTTTAGGTCCTAGTTGTGTCACATTTCCAAGTCAAGTGTTCAGAACAAGATATACATTGCGAGTCATACGGTGATCTTTGAAGAGTGGTGCAAGTTAAAAATTGCAAATAGAAGCAACGCAAATTGTAGTACTGAAGAATGCTTTGGCACATATTTAAAGGGCAGGAGGCTCACTGTAAAGGCTGGGGTTGAGAGGCGAATCTCATCCTAAACGACTAGTAGTAGCACCTGCCAGTGCTGGAGCTCAGATACAATATTCATGAGTGAGCACCTCTGTCGACGGACATAGTTGGAGACGGTAGTGGCTGTACATAAGGTAATCTAGTATTGAGTTTCTCCGTTTGATGTTCAATCGAAATTTTGTACACTTTTGAATATTAAATAGCCACGGGTTTACTACTTTATTTTCCCGATAGTGGGTCTTGTACAGCAAGCACCTGACATAGGTTGACAGTTGTTGAAATTTAAAAGTTGGTATTATGGTATTATTGCACACCACATCTACGTCGTTTCTTAGATATTACGATACATACGTACGGACTGCTTGCTGTCTCTACTGGATCGGCCTGTGCGATGGACTGGCGTGTTTCGACCCAAGTCCCAGTTGTTCAATAATTGAAACGTTATTTAAACCTCCAAGTTTAGTCGTGAATGCTTGAGATCAGATTAGCATATGATATTCAAAATCAGACGCCATTAACATGTACTGGCATATAAGAAGGTGTTGCAGTCCATAGTCTTAAACGTAAAAGTCGCACCTGCGTGTTTTAGGCCATTTAAAAATATATTGTATGTAAACTTAAAAAACCACAGTCATAAAGAGTGTAGACGATCGTAAGGACGTTTCTGACAACTGTTTCATTGGCTATCGCTCGTCTCAAAAAGCTTTTTTTTAGATAAGAAAGTCTGCCAAATTGCTCTCAGTTTCCCATAGCCTCTTGAGCCTTCTCTCTCTTCAACTCTGAAATAGGGTGATACGGAATGCTTTATATATGATTTTTTATTACCGTAGCTGCATAGCATTTTAAAAGCATAGCCTTCTGAATTCAACAACCTTAGTATTTATTTGATATGTGTTGTGTATTTAGTAGTTGAAGACTGTTATTGCAGGCACTAAAATTGAATATTTTAATGATTCCTGCTTATCAGAAATCATACGCGTGACCACACGTAAAGAGATTAAATAAGCAAGTATGGGCAACCAGGGTTCTTCCATCTACGGCGAGGGCTCAGTCGATAAAAATGTGAGTCTCAAAACGTGCAATTGGTCAGTATATCGTATGCGTTGTGGTTATGACCGTGTCCTTTGCACAACGACATCTCCATCACCCATTTCGAAGCTGCTCATCGCTTCCCCGAGTGTATTTTGAATTTGTCCGAGATGTGTACGTATCAGCATCGCAATCAATATCCTATTTCTTAGGAGCAGACCATTTGTCAGAGCAATTGTTATTTACACGTCAATATCCTATTTCTTAGTAGCAGATCATTTGTCAGAGCAATTGTTATTTACACGTGTACGAATATCGGATTTTAGAATACAGAATACCAAATACACTTCTCTCACTTACCCTCTCATAAACATGCCTACTCAAACACACAAATACACGCACACACTTTCTATCACCAACACTGCCACACATAGACACACAAACCACAAACTCACACACCCAAAAATCCACAGTATCACATGCACACACCACAATCTGTCTCTGAC